GCTGATAGCGAGGCGGGTTGCTCTGTGATGTGGCATGTGTGGCTTGATTGCGCTGCACAGCTCGCGCAGCCGCGCCATTCACAGCATTCTTGATTCAGTTTGGGATTTTTGGGCGCGTGTTTCGCATCGGTGGTCTCGTTTGGCTGCGCCCTTCGAAAATGTCGGGCTGGCAACTCACGACTATCACACACTTTCCATCCGAAAATGCTAGAAGAAGTCACGTAGGCCTTGGTTCGGCAGCAAGTGCAGCCTAGCTGTCGCGCAGCAGCAGTCAGCGATCGAAGGAGCACGCAGTAGTAGTAGGGGGGCTCATTAACTCGCGCGAATTTGCATTTTATACTTTTGCATCTTAACTTTTTGCCATAGGATACGTTTTTGGCGTTTTGCATCTCATGGCCAGGCGCGTTGAGATGCATGAGGCGCTTGAGCAGTGTGTGTTATAAAATGCAAAATCACTGGGCCAAAAGCGGCTCCAGGGCCGTACATAATCATCTCGACCTGCATTTCTTGTTGCAAATGAGCGGCCGACAAGCCCGATACACCCCCTCACGCGCCGTCTACGAACGGAGCATAGCGCGCCTTCGAGCTGTCTGAACCTCATCCTTTCCCCACACCACGCATGTATGCTATTCCCTGCCCTAGTGATGCCATCACCATACTCTTACCCTATCGACAGGCACATAACTTCCATCCTCAGAACAAACGCAGCAACGCTTCAATATGCCGCTCAATTGCCAAGAATGTCTTTGGAGACGACAGTGTGGAGATTGGGCGTCGCGTACAGACTAAGATCATCAACCTTCAGACCTGGTACAGGCGTCAAGCCGAGCAGGAGTCGGCCACAGGCGGAGGAAAGTGCCTTGAGGATCTGCCGGAGGATGGAGAAGATTGGAATCATCGCATGTCCGTGGTGCGACAGTATCCATACTACGAGAGGCTGCTCAAAATGATGATCAATCGCAACCCGAGTGAGCCCAAGAAGAAATGGAGCGGCACTCAGGACGTTCCAGAGCCCTCCACCTCCTCTCGTACCTCTGCTGGACGTGCTCACCCTCCCAGCACCATGCCACCGCCATCCACGCCTCGTCGACCCATCACCACAAGCGCCGGCGCTACACCACGACTGTCACCTCCAAAAGAAGGCTCGCGTCGAGTGCCAACAATGGACTCTCAGGTGCGCAACTCCGGTCGTGACCCAATGAAAGACCTAGGGTCGCAGTGGTCGTCCCATGATCAGGGTGCTGAGCTCGGGAATGAGTCCGACGAGGATGAGCCGCCCAAGGTCGATGCGGATGGAGAGGACATCTCTGGTCAGTTGGACGAAAGTCAGCGCAGGCGCACTGGTAACCCTGGAGGGAGGCGGGGCGGAGGTCCAGCTGGAGGCGTCACACGTTCGTCGCTCAAGCGAGGTCTACCTGCTCCCGGTGAAGGCGAAGACAGTTTGACAGAGCGTTTGGCAAAGATTGCTAAGAGTCGCGACGAATCCAGCAACGAGCGACTGGACAAGCAGATTGAGCTCGAGAAAATCAAGGCAGCGCAAGAGGCAAAGTCTGACGAGTCGCGCGCAAGTTTCTTTGAAAATTGGATGACAAAGAGGGCGGAGGAGGATGAGAGGGCTCGAAGGCATGCATCAGAAGAGGCTGAGAAGTTCCGCATTGCACAGGCCAAGCAAGCGGCTGACATGCAAAAGACGATGGTTGATAGCATGCGCGAGACTTTAGGTATGTTCATCCAAGCTTTTGCCCCGAATCAAAACAAGGATGGCGGTGCAAGCGGAAGTGGTGGGGCGTAGACATGGTCGGCGCGCCGCGCGCGCGCCATTGCCGAATGAACTTGAGCAAGGCACATCCTCCTTCTGTACAACATACATCACATCAACGCTATCGCCTTTACCTACATCTCATCTGTGCGTCGCATCTCCCTCCCACTCCAGTCACTCATTGTGTACAAACTTTGGCCTCTGCAGCCTGTATACGTAACCTTTCTCTTCGAATGAACATCTTGTGACTCAAACCCTCAACAAGTGGGGTTGGACGCCGCCCGGCAGCTTTGACAACATTCCGCAGCACCCTCGCAATGTGGAGCTCTCCCTTTGCCACGTGCCGCCCCCGAGTGTCTCCGCTACATCATCCTCAGACCTAAGCTCGGCCTCTTCTTCCGCCGCGGCTGCTGCTTGCTCGCGAGGCTACCGATCGTGATCGCTGACTGCGGGACTGTGAAGCGGACCGATGCTGGCCATCTGCTTGCGACATCTGAAGATCGGTAGCTCGACATTCCTTCATCCGGCTGTCGAAGGTTGTATCACAAAAAGAGCGCTTCAAGTGTAGGAACAGATCCTGGTGCAAGTCCTCTCGCTTATCACGAGCATCGGCCTTTCGACGAGTCTGCATGGCGGACGTTCCCAGTCGGCGCTCTAGCTCTCGGGTTGCCTCCTTTCTCCTGGCCTCAGCTTCAGCACGTCGCTGCCAGGCCTGGGCGTTCTCTTCTCGCTGTTCAGGATCCACCTCCAGCTCTCTAAGAATTTCGGCGATGGCCTCCGTCGGCGCTTGTGCTTCACTTAAAAATTCCTGCATATCCCATCGGGCATCGTACTTTTGAGCAATGGTGTGGGCAACCATGGTGGCGATGATGGTCTCGCAAGCCGCTTCTTCGTGCTCATCGGTGTTTAGCTGGATGGTGAATTCTTTCATCCTCTGGAATCTCGCCTTCCAACAAGAGATGGCGTGCTCTACGCGCACCCAAATTCGGCTCATATTCCAGTTGAACATTCTGAGATCAACAGACAACTCTGCCTTCTTGTGCGAGTATGGGCCTACAACAAACGGCGACAAGCCGTATCCACCATCTGCCCAGATGAACTCTCCATTGTCTAGCTCCAAGTATTTGCCTGGTTCGCGCAGCAGGGCACTTCCACCGGCCCATGCTCTGGAATCTTGAGCTGATCCCTTGTAGCCCACCACATACTCGATGATCCGGAGGCTGTGAGGAAGGACGACAAGCTGGACGTTGAATGAGTAGAACCGCTTGTAGTTAAAGTAGTCCTTGGCGTTGATCCCGGGTTTGTTGGTCAGCTTGATGTGGGTGCCATCGACCGCACAAAACCCCGCAATCCAGGACGGCACGGGAATGCGATCCTCTATCCACTGCTTTGCTGCGGCCTTCTCCCCTTCGGTAGCCCAGGTTAGAACAACATGGCGAAGTCCTGCAAGCGCAGATCCAACCCTCTTCGACCAGGAGATCACTGAGCCTTCGCTGATGCCAGCTCCACGAGCGATCTCTGCGACAGAGGCTCCATTGCCCGAGTGACCAAAGCGATAGAGTACGACTGAGAGCATCTCTGCGAGGACATCTCTTGAAGTGTCATAGAACTCCTCTGTGCCGTGCAGCAAGGTGAGTAGCTCGTCAAATGCGCCCGGTGCCATCCTTACCAAGCGACGATAGCCGCGAGGGTCGTTGACAGGATCAAGCAGATCAATGAGACGCTCGAGGCGTATTGGCTTATTGCCTCGGCTTGGGAACAGCACTCTGGTGGACTGCATGTCTATTAGCCAGTCTATGAGGTCATCAGTAAACGAGATGGCGTCGTCTTCGTCAGTGCGGTCAGCGAGGTCTGCAGGCAGCGATAGGTAGCCCATTGTCTGATGGATCTCCTCCATCAAGAGCACCATCCCAGTTGCTCTCTCTGCTTGGGTCAGGAAGCGCTTCCTTGCAGATGTACGAACCATTTTTGATTGTCAGTAGGATCTGATGCAGCTCGAGACTGGACAAAGGTGACTGTGGAAGTGATGGTGGGATGAGAAGAAGCTCGAAGGGAAGGAACGCATACAAGTGAGTCACATGCTAGAATGCACTCTTAGAATGCAAAATATGTGCGGGGCACTCAGGTTGCATGCGCATTTTATAACTTGCATTTCAACTTTTTCAAAAAATTAAAAGTACCAGGCACTTAACGAGCCCCCCTAGTAGTAGTAGTCTTGAAGCATATGCCATCCCTCGAACCAAGATCGGATGCAGATAGGCCGCGCGGACTATGTTGACTCACCAAGGCGAAGACTGCCTGGAAAACGCTGGCAGCACAGTGCTGAGTAGCCATTCTTTATCGGGCTTGGAGCCTACAGAGTTGTGATAGCGAGTCGTGAGTCCCCTGCATATGCTGTATAAGAGGGGTCGAAAGATGAGAGGGCTTCGCGTGAGGTACGACGGGTGCGCAGACGGGTCAACGCTACAGCAGCCGCGGTTCACATAGCACATGATCGCAATGATCACAACGTTCACAATGCAGGAACACAGGTGAAACAGAGGTCAGAATCAAGCACGACTGGCCATGTTTCGGCTGTGCGCCCGCACCGTTGAGGTTCGATCTGCTCAAGATAGTCACGAATGGCGGTGGGCGGAGTCGACCGAGCGAGGTCTCGCGATCAGGACAGGATATATGGGCTAAACAGCATTGATGGGCTACGCAACTGATCACGATTTACGACTCGGACTCGAGATTAGAGCATGCGCACACGTGGTGGTTCGACCGGGGAACGGTCGATGTGCAGAAGTGGTGTGCCTCGAAGTCAGGAGTAGGCTGCCTGCCTGGTTTTCAAGTTCAAGAGTGTTCTGCGTACGGCGTATACTGAAAGAGACGCAGACAGCCGGCGTTCCTTCATCACGCTGGAGTTCAGCCACATCTTGGAGAGAAGCTCATTTACATGTCATAAGTATAGTAATTGCGGGGCTTCCTCACTCTGCGCAGAGTCGTCGATACCCGACGCTAGAGGCGTCAGCAACACTCATGACTCGCGGACAGCCTCTATATATGTATGCTATAGGCACTCTCGAAAATGTTGTGGATGAACCCAGGCGCTACTGAGACCTCACCTGATATTTTGCTTGGTGCATCATCGCGCTGCATGCCATCATATGCTGCATACCATGCGGCCCAGCATTGAGAAAGACATAGATAGCATCCTCGGACTACCTGCGACGGGATGCGTGCTTGGCGGCGATCACTCAAGAACGCCTGGAACCGTGAAAATCAGGATGTAAGAGGTGATGCTGCTCGCATTTCCCGGCTCCGAGCGCCGCGCAGCCTCTTCCTCACAAGCAGGGCGCTGCAATATCAACTCGCACGCGCGCGCGCGCACGTAAGGTGCCCTCCTCCCACCCACCGCTCTGACTCAAGACTCGTTGCATGGAGCTCATCATTCAGCAAGCAAGCAAGCTCGATCGCACGCATATTGCGAAGGTAGCAGTAGTGTCTTCGAGAACGGCAAGGCCGGCAGTGTCTGGCGGAAGGGCTGTAACCGCGGACTCGCCACTGCTCTGTCTGCACCGGTGGTAGTCATCGACCGCTCCCGGGACTCCCTACACTCAAAGACGCCGCTCGGAGTCTCATCAGAAACTGCCGATCAGCGAACGGGCATCGGAAAGGACCCTGTCTTGAAGGTAGCCGCTGCTGCTTGGCATTCTGAACTTACCAGGGGAGGAGTCAGAGGGCGCACAGTCTATAGCTCGACTTGTACCTGCATGGATGCAAGGAGGCCCCGAGCGGCGGCAGGTTGCGACGCCGGGTCGTCGATGCTTGCTCTGATTTGACCGGACATGGGCCGGAACTTGCGTGCATGCGCGCTCACAAAGCTGAGCAATCGAGCGCACTCTTGCTGCTGAGCCCTTGAGCCCTTAGCCTATCTCACGAGCTATAGACTCTTCTGTGGCCGGCCATAGCTGAGCATGACGTGCGCGCCAAACCTGCAGCGAGGCCTCGCCCGGTGTGAGCCAGAACAGGCAAGTCAGCGGTGCCGGTTGGGTTTCAGACCCCCGCCTCTGTGGGCCCGTCTAGCCGTGCACGTGGGGGCAAGGGGGCTGGTCCATCTCACACTCGTGCTAGGATGCCGCAGCATCTGACAATTGGATACGGCTTACCAGCTGCTGTGCACTGTGTCCCATGGCAAGCTGCGGACCCGGGGCAGCCAGCATCGGGCGGTCGACAGCCTGATCGTCTTGTTGCGCAGCTGAATGGTACACGGAATCGACACGTGTACACCAAAAGTAGAAAAGAGAAGGCTCTCACTCCGAATGCGAATCCCTCGCCTCTCTGTCTGTGAGATGGGGTGCGTAGATCCAGCAGCACTCTCCGTGGCAACCTGGCGCCACACGAGTCTATTCCAGAAGAGCAGCGCACCCTTGCAGATCATGGAAGAGCCATCGCTCCTGTGAGCCCTCACCTCCGCACCCTCAGCCTTGGCTGCACTCGGCCACAAGCACACCCCCACCGACCAACACAATCATTCAAGATTTGCGCTCGGCGTTGTTCTGACAACGGACATCATCCCCGCTTGTTGGGCTGAAGAAGGTAGCTACTGGGGTTACAGCGGTCCTCATTCAACCCATCCTATACAGTATGAGTCAGAGCCAAGGTAGATCGCGGCAGTCCTCTGAACGCTCAGCAGCGGACCGAGGCACCCCGAATTCTTCTGGCCAGGTACACTTCCGTGGTCACACACCTGTCAACCGCCCGCGACATCTGCAGACTTCAGAGAAGCTACAACTAGGCACCGCTGTCCTCAGTGCAGGCTCTGACGCCGTGCTCTTGGCCAGGCGAGCAAGACGAAGCGAGCTGTATGCGCACCGTGCCGGCACGTCGACAATTGCGGAAGACGTCAACGATGGTACCGTGAATGCTGCGACCGCCTCCAACGAAGAGCTTTCGATGTCCATGGGCTCTCAAGTGGATTGCAGCACATCTGATGATGGTAAGGCTCAGCGTATATACTCCTGTCCGTGTTCGTCGTGATCATTCACCCCTACCGCAATGCTTTCACTTCACAGAGTCGCCTTCCGTAGCTCGTCGCAGCCGCATACAATCTCAACAGCTGGATCTGGCTGACATGGTCGAGAGCAGTGAGGGCGTCGACTTCTCTGAGCCTGTCATTGTCGACGTACCGTCTTCGATACCGTCTAGTCCCTCTCGCGGCAGAAGCAACAGTCACGTTCCGAGTCCCACTTCTACTCCAGCACACCCGCGTTTCCCGAACTCTCGTCTACGTTCCGGTAGCCTGCTTCAGGAGAAAGGTGAAGAAATAGGTTCAAGAACAGTGCAGTGGCATGATGCCGTTGCAGGAACCAGCGGCATGATTGCGGTGCCTGCACCATTTCTTCAACTGCCTTCGCTCACAACCCTCCGTCAGGTCTCCTCAGACTCGCAGCATCATCCAATACCTTTCTGCATGCCAAGTAGCGGACACGTTGCTCGTGGCTCGTCAGCGCCCGACGCTGTCCGCAGTGATGTTGCAGCCGAAGGTACTATCAAGCCTCACAAGGCTTCGAACGCATCTGCCACTGCTCGAAAGATCTCTGGGACGAGCACTCGCTCGAAGAGCACGGCAAACACTGCGAATACATCTCAAGACTTAGCAGACATGAGCTTGGATCGCTCCCATTCGTGCAACACGCCCGACACTTCTCTCGAAAGCATTACATCCGCACACTGGTCGATTCGGCCATTTTTAAACGCTCAAAGCGAGGCAAATGGATCGTCGAGGCCTCCGCTCGAAGTCGCACTTGGTCAAGCCGTTCTTGAAAGCACGCTTGCTTCGCAA